TGTATACATAATAATAAATATTTAAAAAAGAAAGCATTTTAAGTCATGCTACAAGGTTTGTTTTATATGTAATTCTTTTGTCTCACCTGTTCAGGCCCTGGAATCATAGGCATGTTCTACCATACATGGCTACCAGTTCTTTGAATGAAAAATAATAAAAACATTTGGAAACTAGTTTTAAAATCAATTATAGAATATTGAAACAGCTGACAATAAATATCAAGTTCTTAAAGAAAACTAGAAATACCTTATGATATAAAGCAGGAAAAAGGAATAGAGAAGAATTCTATTGTGTGGGTCTCAAGTTTACATGAGGTAGATTTGGGGGAGAGGCTGGAAGGTATAAGTTGTGTTGTTCCAGGAGTCTAATTACAGATACAGCAGTTGACTCACGATGGAATAACAGTTCCAGTCTCTGACGGTTTCTTCTGTGTCTCTCTAAAGCATGTCTTCCGGTAAGGACAAAGCATGACCACAAAGCACCTACCTCCCTTTCACTGGAGGAAGGGGTCCGATGTGGTCAACCCACCACTAGGCTGCTGGCTGGTCACCCCGGGGAATGTGCCGGATCTGGGGCTCAGTGTTGGTCTCTGACACTCAGCAGAGCTCAGTAGCAGCTGTAGCCAGGTCAGCTTTCGTGAGGAAAGTCCATGTTGTTGAGCCCACACACGACTTCCGTCTCTACCACCACGGCTACTTTGTTCATGGGCACATCAAGCAAGGAGAGAGAGCCAAGGAGAAAGGCTGATGACCCACAGCACAGTCATCCTGTCTGCTTGATTACTGAACTCCTTCCTACTCTGCTAAAGCTACCTTTGATAAGCATTTGCATGGGACACAGAATCCTTGGCCCACTCAGAGATCTAGCCACACACTTCTTCCTTACCACAGTTACTTCTCGACTGCTGTGACAAAACATTGTGACTAAGCCAACTTACAAAAGAAACTGTTTAAAATTCGGGACTCACAATGGCAGAGAGGTATAACCATGATGGCAGGGAGCAAGGGAGGACAGGCACTGGAGAAGCAGCTGAGAGCTTCCTGTACTTAGCAACCAACAGGAAGTAGAGAAAGAAAGAGGGAATGGTGTGGGCATTTGAAAGCTCAGCACTCACCCTCAGTGACACACCTCCTCCAACAAGGCCACACCTCCTAATCCTTTCCAAACAGTTACAACTAGGGACCAAGCATTCACATGTGAGCCTATGGGCTCACATTCTCATTCAAACCACCATATCCTCCAATGTCTCTCTCACCAGTTTTCCAATCATGCTCTTTCCAAGCTCTTGATCATCCAGCCAATACATTAGCTACATACAGCAAGCACAAATCAGTAAAGAATTGTGCATCTGGCCATTTCTCCTTGCAAGCAAAATGCACAGCCATGTACTACTGACTGCTTCAAGTTTGATTAGCATCATGCATTGAAGTGTTTCTATATAAGCAAGTAAACAGTCTGGTGGCTTAGGGGAGCTCCTGAGGGTTTTTGTTGGTGAAGATGAGGTCTTGCTATGTGCAGCCAGGCTGGCCACGAACTCTTGATTCCAAGGTTTTGCATCTTTTAGAAGCAACTTCATAAACATTATAAGTTATTAAAAAAAAAAAAGCCTGCAAGGTAATTTGAAAGCTGGGCCTGAACAACAGTCGGGGTGCACAGGCCATAGCGGAGAAAAGATGGGTACCTGAGGATGGAGGGGCTCATTATCTTCCCAGAACTGAGGTACACTGCATTTACTGTATCCTTAGTAGCAGTGGTGCTAGTTCTAAAATAGATGGTTATTTTTAAAGTCAGTGCATACTCACCGCCATATGTCAACCTTTTTAAAAATTGAAAAAAAAAAAAAAACAGGTAGGTAAGACATTAGCACCAGGATACTTTTCCAATAATACGGTCTAAGCAGAAGTGTGTGTTAGGAACTATGAAAATATTATTTCATGCCTTGTAAGCCACTGCCATTCTTAAGCAGCCAGCTTTGCCTTCAATCTTCTGAATTAAAATTACTAAGATGATAACACCAGATCAGCACTGTGAGACACTAAGCTGCTTGGGCAGTACACAAGACCTGTTCTGCTAGCATGGATCTGCTCAGTAGAACAAAAGCGTCTAAATTAGAAGGCTTTTTTTTTTTCTTGAATTCGTTGAAAGGCTGAATATTCAGGAGGACGGCTGCATCCTTCTGTCCCTACGACCAACCAAAGAACTTAGAAATAAATTTCATTTTTTTATAAGAGAAAAAACTTTGGGATATTTTTCTCAAAGCTAAACCTATCTGATATTGTCCAAGGAAGAAGGGACACAGTGGCCAGGGTTTCTGTGCCCATCTGAAGAGTCTTCTCTTCAAACTCTTCAGGACAGTCACATCGCCCTGGCTTGCCTGCCAATGCTACAGAGAGTCCCACCAAACAGACACTGACATCATCATCAGTGATAAAATTGCGTGTGAAATGCAGTCTTCCCTAGAGTCTCAGGTGGTCCCCGGCCCTGGGGCAAAAGCAATGGCAATTCATTGTCTGAGCAACTGCATGGCAGGAAGGAATAGTTTCAGTATGTCAAATCTCTGTGTTTGGCATTCCCTTCAACTGAGGTTCTTCAGTGAGAAGCAGGCTCTAGATTATTATTATACTTGGCTAAGACAATTTGGTTGCCCTAAAGCATCGGTTATGTAAAGTGCACAACGTTAAAGACAAAGAATCATTCAGCAACACCTGTGAGAGTGTAGGAAGGCACACCTAGTTCAGGAGTGGGTGTTGGACCACCTGCACTAGGGTTTTTTCAGTAAAGGGAAGACTAGGCTCAACTCTGAAAGTTGCACAGCCAAATGGGGGATGTATAGCCAAGCTACAGGGTGAAGGTCAGAAGACGGAAAACCCGCAAAGAGGACAGACACATCAGGAATAAGGAGGGGGATTCTGGCTGAACGAACCTAACAGGGTTCTGCTGAAGTCAGGCCAAGATATTCCTATCACCTAGGTCGGGCGGTGGCAAAGGAAGAACAAGCACTGGGGGGTGGGGACAGGGCTTCCTTGTTAAACTGACATAACAGGTTTCTTGGCTAAATCTGGATTGTACAAAACAATAATAAAAGTTAGGCCTGGGAGAAGGTCCGTGAGTCTGAAATTGGACAAAGCAAAAAGTTCCTGTTGAGAAACCCACTCACCTCTGGTGAAAAGACAAAGCAACAGGGATGTTAAAAGGAGATGCGCACATTGGTCATTCCAACCAGGGTAACCTAGCCAGAGGGGCCCTGTGGGAAACGCGGCTTGAAGGAAGAAAAGCCATCTGACCCAGAGACACAACAGTGGAGCAAGCAGAGGACATTCCAGGAATTTCCCTAAATACTGATAAACAGGTCAAATTCCTTGGCACAGGAAATCACTTCATACCAAAAAAGAAAGTTCCCAAGTTCCAGCTAACAAATGAACTGTAAACAATACTGTCCAAAATAAGAAAGTTCTGGAACAATGAAAGATTCTGGACAATCACCAAATTCATGCCACCATTCCAAAACACAGAATGCCTCAGGGTTTTCCCTCTTAATTTTACCATATATAAATCTCAAACACCGACTAAATGACTCAGAAATAATGCATATGCCACTCCAAGCAACACAAATATTTAAGAAACCAGAAACTAATTAATTTCATAGCCCCAGGGCACAGTCTAGATGAACCCTGAATATGTACCCATGTAATTGAGAAGAATTTTCATTGGCACGTGATCAATGGGAACCCAAATTATCCTGCCTTTTGTAAGCAAATACTTAGCCAATTTAAAAGAATATCAAAGAAGTGTGAGGACCCCAGGGATGAGCACCACCGGAAAGGCTTTCCTCACATCTGAACCCCAGCCTCTCGCGGCCAGCTCCTGCTTGCTTTTCTTCTCGGTATCAGCAAGTGTCTGAAGCTGGTAATCATGAAAGGGGTCAAACAGCCTTACACAAAAGCAGCCCCTGAGCCAGGGCCCCTGCACTGCTACAAGTCTGACTCTTGGCCAGAGATTAACCTTCGGGGCTGGTCTAGTGGCACGTAATGTCAGCTGGCAAACAGATGCAACACACAAGGCTTGGCAGTAATGAACAGAATGCTGTCCGGGACACTCGCCTGCATCCAGAACTCTAGGGGTATCTTGTAGCTGGGTGGTGATGGCGCACACCTTTAATCCCAGCACTCAGGAGGCAGAGGCAAGTAGATCTCTGTGAGTTCAAGGCTAGTCTGATCCATAAAGTGAGTTCCAGGACAGCCAGAGCTGCATAGAGAAACCTTGTCTCCGAAAACAAAAAAAGAGGAAGGAAGGAAGGAAGGAAGGAAGGAAGGAAGGAAGGAAGGAAGGAAGGAAGGAAGGAAGGAAGGAATTAGAGACATCTTGTAAGAGACAGTGTTCCTCGATTCACCAGGAAGAAGCTGAGAAAGCCAATGGTAAACGTTAGTTCTTATATCAAGATCTTGAATCTTTATGAAAGGCTATACTGGGCATTTTTTTTATCATTATGTATGGATGTGGAAATATACAGAAAGGTGGATAGAAATACTTTTATTTTTTCCCCTGAGGACAGCAGCAGTTAGGAGTACTTACTACTCTTGAAGAGAATCTGAGTGCAGTTCCCCATGTCGGGTGGCTCACAACCACCCGTAACTCTATCTCCAAGAGATCCAACAATTTCTGGTCCGAGGGAACCTGAACTCACACACACATATACCCACACAGACACACACGTAATTGAAAATATATCTTTCTTTTTAAATCCCCTTCTTCTAAAAGTTATCTGAACACTGAAAAAAAAAATTCTCCCTAAAAGATGTGTGTTTTTAAGATGAGGTCTCACTATGTTGACCAAGCTGACCTGAACCCCTGGCTGAAGCAATTCGGCTCCAGTTGGGATTACAGGCACACTCTGCATACCTGGCTCTTACAGGGACTCACTTACCTTATTTACATTTAACGGATATATTTAATAGCCAATTTAAAACGTATATAGATACTGGGTTTTTTTTTTCTTTACCTGGGGATTTCTTGATTGATCTTGACTGTGTCAAGTGTGACTGTCGAGGCAGCAGAGGTGATGAAGGCAGAGACATCGAAACCCCTTTGGCCAAGCTCACACGATAGGGGTCTTCTGCTGTAGGAAGACCGCTCACAGGGGAGTCGCCGCTGTGACCAGAGGACAAGGCAGGCGTCTCTGAGCCAAAGTCACCACCTGGAGTGGAGAGATGGCATCTAGGTTACACCGTCCACGACAAGTTGATGAGACGTTAACTCCTAAGAGCTATGTTCTTAGAATACAATTCCCATATACCAGAATAATGAATATCTTTTGAATCATTTCCTTTATCACTCTTGAAATCTGTTGCCTACAGGAGAGACTCAAGCTTTGCCACGGAAGCATCAACAAACTCGGCCAGGAGGCCCTTTGTGTTCTGCTCAATCGCTACAGAAAGTCATGATCCACAAGCCGCTCTGATTTGGCTGCTGCAGTTACGAGCAGGAGGTCCTGTACTTTTGTATTAGTGGAGCAGATTCCAAAGCCAGGAGCTCTCTGGACTCTGAGCCTGCAGTCTGCTTCCTCCAATACAAGGCTGCCAATGGAAGACCCGGACGGCTTCATGGTGCTCCCTAGAAATACTTCTCTTTCCCGATCCCATCTACTCTACCATTCTGAATCCTCGCCAACCCCAAACCATCACAGGGCTCATCTACTGAGGAGGTTCCCGTAGTATCTAACCCCCAAATAAACCTGGGAACAAAGTAGCACACCATTATGAACTAAAACTTTCTAGAGGGAGCAGATCCGGAAATACAGAGGCTGCGATCACAATGTACAGAGAATATGAGGAGTGTAGAACTGGGCAAGGACAAACCAAGAAAGAGATGCAGCCAGTCTGCACGTCCCGGATGATACACTTTGCTCCTGTCCTCCCCTACTCCGCCACCCCACCCCCAGTCACAGTCCCTCAGTAGAGACCGTGAAGCAGCTGAGTCATCACCCCATAGATTATAAAACATCTTCAGAGATCTAAATTATGGGGAGCAGCAGAATTAGGAAGAGACATGCAAGTTTTCCATAAGCAAAATCAGTCTGTCTGACAAACGCCCTCCAACTAGTCCTTGTCATGGCTTCTGCTAAAGAAGAAAATGCAAGTACTACATTCGGGGGGAGGAGGGGGGTGAAACCCAAGAGCTGTAGAGCCAAGCAGACACTCATTTTTTCCAGATCTTTGTGCATGAGGCCCAAAAAGGGATGTGACCGAAACCCATCATCAATCCATGTTGCATTGCTGGACTTGTTTTCCACGTCTGTAGCCATGGGGAAGGAGTACTAACCCTGCCACAGAATGACGTTCAAGCGTCGCTTCCACAAGCAATAGCCCAAGAGCTGTCAGGAGAAAAGCCATGGGTACTGGCAGAGTCGGGAAGGTCTCTCCAGTCTCACCTGGCCAGCGACACTTGAAGCATCTCAATAAACTTGGGACATTACAATGATTTGTCACTATCTGCCCAGATGACTAGCATTTGAAGAAGAGGAAGAAAGGCACAATTCCTAGACAGCTCTCACTGGAATTACATCAACACTCATGGCAGGAGACCAGGACAGGCTAGCCCTAAGGGAGGAGGGTAAACATAGGTTTGGAGAGGCCCTTTAACACAGCCCACATGAACGGTGGAGGCCGCTGCACTGGACCTGCACACTCTTGCTTTTCACACCTTCATAAACATTCATATTACATACCTGCCAGACTTACAATGTTACGTACACACGGGCGAAGCAGCCTGGATTCTTGAAGATGCCACCTCTTGAGGTCTTTAGCCAGTGCATGAGGCACCCAGATTACCACCTCTGTTATTGCCAATGAATGAAAAAGCCAAAGCGACAACCAGACCACTACCTCCCGACAGGGCTGTGTGCTTATAGAGGGACCTGTGAGAGCAGGACAATTACTTTCACGGTCTCCTAACGAGTTCCATGACCAGTCCCCACTACCATTTGGTTCTGTAAGTACCTACAAGAACACTCTATAACATGATCGTCAGGTGTCCAGCAAGTAGAATTGAAAACAGACAAGACCAAACAAGAAACTGAGGTTACAGCCCTACAGTGGTACAGGGACACTGGGCAATGTTGATTTTCCATGTGTTTGCGGCCATGGGTGCTGTGAATTAGCCCAAGTCACGGACTTGGACTGGAAACAGTGAGAGGGCCTGACAAGCCATAAGCAATAGTCTCCCTACCCACTCTGAAAGATTTCTGACCTACATATGAAAACCTGAACTTCCAACCCCTTCATTCAATGGGAACACAGAGAAATGGTGAAAGGCACACACCATCACCAGAAACCTTAAAGTTAAGCTTGTTCCCAAGAAAACAAGTTTTTATCTCAGACATTTAGAATTCTCTAACACAGAACAAGAGAAATTAGGGATTGGGGGACGGGAGGGCAGAAGATTTAAAGCATTTCCTAATCACAAATTCTGCCCATAAACTTTGTTTGTATCAAGCAAAGCAAATATTTTCATTAACCGCAAGTCTGTGAGAAACAGCTTCCAAAGCAAGCCGCAGCCAGGAGGACCCTCAGCCTCGGGAACAGCTGGACCCCAGCTCTTTGATTTTATGTAGGCTGCAATAAAAATGGGACTTAGAGATGGGGCTTGGGGGAGGGGCGCTTCCATTTCAGCTCGACTTGGCCATCTCATGACAGTATCTGCCCCAAACATGCTGTTCTGCTTGGCTTTTCAGAAACAAACTTCCAGCTTCCTTTCATTAGGAAGGCACGCACAGAGAGAATAACCGTATGGATGTACAGGGGGGGCACAAAGCACCAAGTGGGAGATCCAGCTGCTCGGAGGCTGGGCAGCATCCTGGAGCCTACAACTTTAGCAGCACAGGGCAGCAGGTTTAGGGCAAAGAAAGCCTAGGACACCAGAGGCCAAAAGCAGAACCCTGGTCGGGACACACACATCAGCGTTGGGGCATGCTCTAAGCAACCGGACATCAGACATCTCCTGTACTGTGAAATATTTGCACACTGTGTGAAGATATATTGCTGTGATTGGTTTAATAAGGAGCTGCACAGCCAAGCACTAGGCAGGAAGTACAGGCGGGACTTCCAGCCAGAGAGAGGAAGGAGGAGGAAATAGATAATCAAAGGGCAGAGGAGATGCCAACAAGACATGGAAGGAGTCAGACATACAGAACGAACGGTAAAAAAGCCACATGGCAAATTAATAAAAGCAGGTTAATTTAAGTTATATGAGCTGATGGGACAAGCCTAGGCTAAGGCCGAGCTTTCATAATTAATAAGGAGTCTCCATGTCACTGTTTGTGGGCGGGTGGTCCCAGTGGAAAAGCTTGCTACACCCCGGTTGATTCAACATTCCTCAGCAGATGCTTAGAGAGGCAAAAGAAGAATTAAACATGTTTCACCACAACACCCAGCATGACTGGAACATTTCGCTGGGCCTTGAGTAGACGATGTTTTCACTACAACCTACTTTATTCCTCGCTTCAGTTAAGTAATAGGAAGCACTTCAGTCACTGTTCCTGTCGCTGCTGCAGAAAGGCCAGGCTGGGCAGGACAAAGGCATCCACCCCAGGGAGTGAGTACAAGCCATGTTACCAGGCTCCCCTCCAACTTGGCATTTCAACACCAACACCAGCGTGGGTTCCTCTCAGAGAGCCCCTGATCCAATCACACCTCTCACGGGCAGGAAACTGAACCACATTAACTGGGAGGAAAAGAGGGAGCAGCTGGAGTCTTCCCCCATCCAACCAGCTCAGATTCTAACACACTATTCCACTTGTTTAAGAAAGCTGGGGAAAATAGAGCCTCAAAGAAAACACATTTTAAATCAGTCAAATATGTAAGGGGCAATCACACTTTTTCTGTAAAGGGCCTAATAGTATCTTGGGCTCTGTAAGATAGATATAGATATAGATATAGATATAGATAGAGATAGAGATAGAGATAGAGATATAGAGATATAGAGATATATAGATATATATACACACACACACACAGTCTCTGACATTTTCTCTCTCACCTCTTTTCCTATTTTAAAATTACTGACTTCCTGAAGTCTGAAAATAAAAGATCAGGAAGGGCATGAGGATGAATGGACATTTATAAGGTCTTCTGGGCTTCCAATAAATCAAAATTAAAATATCCACATAGAAGAAGTATCAGAGAGAGCCCTGTATTTGTGAAGATAATGGACTCACCAAAGAGAATAAAGACAGCCAATAAAGCACTGTAAATTGGTGGAAATGGCTTTTGATAATGGCTCTTTATTTTAACTTTCCTCCCCCCCCTATTCTTAAAGACGCCGAGTGAAGATTTAAATACACAATGGAAGGAGAACTGTGAATCGGAGATGAATGTCTAAAGATGGCCATGCAGAATGCTGAAGTCGACGCTGCAGATTAGAATACCCGGAGTGCGGGATTAGAGACGGCTTTAAAAAAACCAGGGCAGGGAAGGCAGGCAGATGGAAGTAAAGCCAACCTGAGACAGGGTCGCCCTGAGAAAGACAGGGGTGAACTCAAGACATTC